TACATTTTTTTCAGTTTATCCAATCATAATATTTTGAAATTGTATACATATATAGAAAAATACAACCTAATAAAATCAAATTTGAATTAGGATGAAAAGAATTACTTGAAAAGAAAACCATAGCTTAATAGCTATATATTTGATATAGGTAGAAAATTACTGTGCCACAATACCCACTTTTTTGCAAGATTTATAATTTAATAAAAATAAGGTGTCTTCAAATGTATATTGCTCTCCTTAAATATACCAAAGACCTTTGAAACAAGTTCATAGTTACTGAAAATATTCCCATTTATGTTATAAGTATTTATTACATGATTAATAAACCCAAAATGCAGCACTCCCATTAGTATGTTAGTTTTCTGCTTGTGCAAACAACGCTCTACTGATTTAATGCACGAGCAAAACCAAAAAAGGCAAAAAAATTCTATTATGAAGAAATAAAATGTTACACTTCCAACGTATTTGTATTCCTTCACGGACTAGAAAGGGCCACCTAAACCTGTAAAAGTTTTCTGAAGATTCAAATGCTACATTAAATCTTCAGTTACTTTGCAAAAGCCAAGGGTCAAATTATTCAAACTTAATGCAGAATATCTGGAGAAGGTAACTGCATGGAAGTTTAGATTTCCTGTGTTATATAAAAATTCTATACACTGGAAAAAAGTAGACTGAAATACTAAATACCATAATCACATGAAACAGTAGTAGCACTACAGCCTCAAACCCATTATTGTATAGTCACTAGTCAATTTTTCCACAGTGGACTTAAAGAATATTGTACCAAGTCTCAATAACTCAAGAGTTAGTAATGGATACACTTTAGAATATATATTATGTTTCACCCAATGTGGGTGATCAAAAACTTTCTATACCATTCATTTATCACCTCAATTTAACATACTGGTTTTGTTAATGTCCTTAAAAACATTGACCACCGCAAGTCAGCAAATGCTACATCCCTTCTTAGGTAAACAAAAATAAACAGACGACTTGGCAGTGAACTAGATCTGATCATGTTATATTGCACTTGGGAATTAGAAGCTAGATTCAGTACCAAAGAGTTCAGATCCCACTCAAGTCAATGACAGTTATTAGAGCTCAGCATATAATCATGATCCAAACTGTGGGATTTGTTTGTGATAGGAGGCCACTGCCAACAGAGAACTAATGGGTTCTTCCCATCTCAGAAATAGACAAACAAAATCTCATCTCTTTGCTGTAAGGCTCATCCATGGTCTGCCACCACCTTTTTATTTTTTTTTTTATTTCCATTTTCTTTTTATAAAAATCCTGGGCTTTTTTTCTCATTAACAGCAGTTCAATGCCAGCAGCATTGAACACAAAGGGTCACATTCAAAGCCAGTTGCAATGAATGTCAGGTTTTCTGTGACTTCACTAGACTGTGGAATAGGTCTTAATCTGAACCAAAGCCAGAAAAAGACTAGATTTTCACCAGGGTACTGCTGCTCTGTGACTATTTGTGAGGGTGTAAGAACAAACACTACAGGGCCTATGCCAGGGTAACCAACAGCAAACCCAAACGTTGCAAAAATTAAGTGCAATGTGAGTCCTTCAAATCACCAAGAACATGCTGATTATAGCTGAAATATTTTCAAAATACCCACGAGGGTTTACCCCAAGACTGTTTAAGCATGGACACAAGTTTAGAAACAACTAAATATTAAAATGCTCTGCTTGAAATAAATGTTTTATACTGAAAGAGCATACATCACAAACTTCAAGAAAGTTTCCACAAACAGTATGTGAATCAAAGATCAACATGTAAATCAAAATTTAAAACAGAAAAATGGGACAAAATAAAATTATAAACTTGATACTGATATATGCAAACATTTCCTCAGAGATTTCAACTTACGTTGACAATGTATCCCATATTTGACTTTGCAGTCATGCTTAAACAAAAGCTATCTCCACAATTTGGTAGTTTCTTGAAAGAAATGTAAGCCTATAAATTAGGTTCCTTGCTTTACATTTTCCATATATTGTCAAATATAGTAATAGATAATATGCATTTTGTAATATAAATCACTTTTTAATACTGATCGTGAGTTGCTGCAATAATTGCAAACTGGAGTACTTACAGAATTTCATATTTCATTATAAAAGATATAGCTCTTTTAAAATGTTTTCATTTTCTAAATAATTACATAGCTGTTGGTTTTATATTCATAAAAATATGTTTCTGAAACATAACTCTCAAGAGAGAACAAATTCTCTGTTACTGTACTTGTATTTTTTTAATGCTTGCAGTATGCATCTTATGCACATCAACTTTGACTCAAGGGCATTCATTCCATTCCAAAATACATTTTTTAAAGTTTCTTTGAAAGTTTTAACATCATTGTAATACTTTCTATAAGAATACATCAATACCTGTAAGTCAGTATGAAATTTATACTGACACAAGTACCCATATAGTCTGTAATCTTACTGCTGAACCTAGAATGTGGTATCCTGCACCCCCATTCAGGAAAACATTCTGTTCAGAATCTTCCTGAAGCACAAATGTTACTTTAAACTGAATTTGGGGTGTTATATCTGTGTTCACTAAGTAACCTGTATACTCTACTTACTACTGGGTTTTTTTAACCAAGCTGGGAATTAGTGGACATGGGAGAAGAAACTATTTTCTTTTATTCTCCAGTAGAATTCAAGAAAAGAAAAATCACTTAAATAAGTCTTATTTTATGTAACTTCAATAAATGGAAGAAACTTCCCATAGCTACAGTAGTTGTACCAATAAAATGTACCTTTTTATCCTGAAAAAAAATCAGAAAAATGAGAATTTCCAGTTGCCACAGTAAAATTAAAATGCAGTTATCACTGACATTAACAATGCTACTGTATCTCTTCCATGTGAACTGAAGAGACCTTGATTGTGTTTGAATTTTTTTTTTATTTTCATCTCCTTACAATGCCTAGACATGCAAGTAGTCTAATAAATTTCAAGTCAACATGATGTGTACATGTAATGAAAGCACACATGTAAGAATTAGAGCTATAATCCGTCTGACAGTCTCTTAAACCTCTTAACCTACTAAGATTAAGTCTGGGTAAAAACAATCTCCTTGCATCTAGATAATCAGCTGACAAAGTGTGTGAACCAGAAGCCTGTTTAAGTAACTGAAATTGTGTTTTATAAAAGTCATGTTTTAAGGCCAGGATCAAAGCCTAATTCCTGATTCTTTTCTATATTACTAATAACAATATTAGAAGTAAAGACAAAAATAAAGTGTTGACCACACTGAAGACCTTGAAAATTCAATGAAAGCAGAATTATGCCCTATCCCTTCTCATATAAGCCTACTATATCTAAACAAATTGCCTAAACCAAAAACATGTAAACAGATAAATATGCAAGCCTATATCTGATATACATACTGCCCCCCGCCCCAACTTTGTGCTGGCTCTCTTAATGACTCAAATGCCATCACGGTTCATTGAGTAAGGATGGACTTAACAACGAAAGCCATTTGTGGATCTACAGTTGTGGAAAGGATGCAGAATGAAAATTGAATCAAACTGTTCATTTCAGATAATTCTGGGTTTATTGGGCACTGCAGTATTTATGGGGGAGATACAGTTTTGAACAAAAACCCCAAAATACAAAACCCAACCCAAATAAAACTAGAGTTTTTATCCTTTTAAGAACTTGTCTACATAGAAATCTCACTGGTGTAATTGCAGTAGAAGTCTTCCTTTCTGTATGTGACTGCATACAGGGAGTTTATAATGTAATTTATTCCCTTTATGGAATAAAAAAATCTCATATAAGGCACCTTTGTAACAGTTTAAGTATGTCCACTCTTAAGATTTGCGCAACAGTTACACGTGGTTGCAAGCCAAAGTACCTCCTAATTTGCAGTTACATGTCTACTGAAACGCATATAGACAATGTTCTCTCCCAAGTATAAGCTTCACTTTACCACACCAATGTGGAGGGAAATAAGCTAAGGATTATGTAAACCCATGGCTTTAAACCACTGAACTTTTGGTATGTTTAAAAAACAACAATGAAACAAAATATTTAGTGTCTTTTCTGGTAATGAAATGTATTGAACATAATGAAATGCATCCTGCAATGAAATGTCTTTTGCGCAATGAAACATACAATGAATGAATGAAATGAAACAAGCCAAATCAACGTTCTTTTTTCAAACCCTTTTGCATTGCCAGCTATACTCCGCTTCATTTGGCAAGCTCACTGTTCTCTTAGGGCAGGTGGCAAGGCAGGCATGAATGTGGCTAAAGTACTGATGTAATCTAGATATGTTTGGCTGGCAGATAGTCTTAGTTTAAACTGTCCCTATATTACTCCACCCTGCACTTGGACATGGTCAACCACAGAATGCGAGAATTAACAACAGCTTCCATACAGTGCATCAGGTAGCCTGTCACAAAGTATTCCCTCCTTTGTTTTGCCAGAAACTGAAATTCAACCTGAGTAATATACAGACTTCACTTCAAACCCTGTGCAAGTTTGATTTATGTACGTAAAGGCTATGGATTTTCTCATCAGACATGATGTTGGGCTATGGCTGCCAACAGACTTGTGTCTGGCAGTACCTGAATGGGTCCACACTGCCAAGAAATCTGTGGAACACCTGGATCCTGTTCCATGGAAATACACAGCAAAGTCTTTGGATCTTGCCCTGAATCTTTTCACTAGGTCCCATAGAAAGTACATCATCCCCAGCTTTCTACCGCTCACTTCCATTTCTGTAGGCTCAATTCCTACAGTGAGATACCTAGGACCTGGAGAACAGTATTTGTAAAATCTAGAGAGAAACCACAAGACAAATGACTGAGCAGGAAGGGGAACAGGCATGCAGAATAGGTATCAGATGTGAATGATTCCACAGCATAATCTCTTTCATATTTTTTGAGCAAGAGGAAAATCAGCAGAATTAATGGATCAAAGAATATTCTTCAGTTTTGTAAAACAAGCTATGTTCCTTTTTTTTTGTGCAACTAGTTTTCAAGAACTCTGAAATGAAATGTAGTGTACTCCAACAAAAATCAATCAAAACTAAACGTGTAATCCAGCAAGTATCTATGGAAGCTGTTGGCTTCAAGAGCAAACACAGAATCTGTGTAACAATTAATGTAAAGTCAGTCCGTGAATCAAAAAAGGTGTCTCCTACATCCCGATACGCAAAATCATAGCACTACATATTGCTTAATTTTTTCACACGCAAATCAGTGCAGATGTGTTAGTCACATGTATGAACGTAATTAATACAAAAAGGAGGATTTAAATATATTGCTCTTATTTTGTACATGCTGATACCTTCCGAGACCAGCACCTTTGCAGTCATTAAGTGTTTTTTCCGTAAGGGGGAAACCAATATTCGTAACCACGATGTAGGCATTTTAAAATTTCAGAATGTCTTACAGATAAAACTCTGCTTAAGCTTCTGATGTTCCTTCCCCATTCTCATGCGGTTGCAGTTGTTCTCTTTCTTGTTCTTCCTGAGGTGGTCTCACACGTTTGAAAAAGCCCATCTGTGATTCAGAGAACAATAAAGAAATTGCGTTGTGATTTTCAAAACATACACACATCCTTTCTCTCCCCTTCTTGATCAGATCTTAACCGATGAGTTATTTGATTTTTTCCCCTCCTACTCTCTTTTTCATTGTTTTTGATCACCAAAGCCAATAAATATCAGCTAAAAAATTAAACTAATTCAGCACAATCACAGATATCCTTTTTTATTCAATTTCTTCCTGACAAAGATGAGAAGTTTTTACAGTTATCCAAAAACTTAACTGATTCAGATGATTAGGGGACCAAGGTATTTCTGCAAGCTGCTGGTACTGTTTGAAGTAATACATCACTAATAGGGAAAAGAAAACAATGCAAAATCCCAAATACAGTACTTACCCTGTACATAACAAACACTAGGACAGCCAAGAGCAATAATCCTGCTAGGACTGCCAAAATTATAACCCACACTGGCACAGGCATAGGCTGTGGTTGAATGCCCCATGTAATATTTGTAGTAACCTAATAGAAAAACACAATAAATCACACTTTGCACAGCAGTGACACGCTGAGTTCATTCATGCAGTTCAAGCCTTTATATATCTTTTACTCCACAGTGTTTAATCTTAATCCAGAATAAATTACTTTTTCTCTCCAATGCAAGTAAACAGCTATAGATTAATTGTGACATAAAGGCTTCACTGACCCAAATTTAATAGGATTTTAAAATTAAATAAAAACAGCGCTTTGGGAGTTTGGTGGGGTTTTTTTGTCTTGTTGGTTTTGGGTTTTTGCCATCAATCATACCATGGCAACATATATTCTGTAATGCTTGATGATTTTCAGAAATCCAGAAATTTGGGGAATTAGAGAAAAATAATTCAGAGCTTTTCCTTTTTTTCTTAAAAGGCAGTATTCCTTGAAACAAAAATCAACTCCACAAGGTTTAGGAGAGAAAAACCAGTTAATAATAGGCATTAGAAACCATACTGAAAAATAAATCAGTCACAATCCTTTTCAACCCCTTTCTTAAGATCTTTTATACCATAGTGCCTACCAAAACCTTTCAATTTGGCAGCCCAAATAAATGGCCTGTATCTTCCTTTCTGTTTGTACCCCGTCTCCTTTCTCTTTGAAACCCTCTAGGGCACAGATGGTCTTTTTGTTCCACATTCACATAGTACTTCATATAATATAATAAAGGTTCATTATTCAAGCTCTACTACAGTAGCACTACTAAAGTAGAAGACAATTTTAATGTAATTCTTTAACAACAATGGCATTAACGAGAACATTAGGACTATTCACTGTCATTTTTTAAATTTTCAGTTTAGTCTTTAAAGCTACAAGTATTGTTAACGCTAGTTTTAGGACAAAAATTTTTGTTTTACCCTCAATTGTATGTGTATAACTGAAATTAATATATGAACTAAATATTTGATAAAATTACAATTATACCAAGCCACAAAAAAAGCTACTCAACAATCATTGGTTTTATATTAATTTCAAAGTAATTATGTATGGTATCTCAAGCTGGATGTAAATTACTTACTACTGTAGAATTGTGGATATCTTCAAAGGAAAGGTTCTTATAAGGGAACTCTATTACACTGAAAGAAGCAGATGATTTGAGAGAATAGGAGTGATTCTGATTTTCTTTCTGTGTAAGAAAAAACAAAATTAGTATTGCATGTGGATACAAAAATCATTTCAGAAGCAGGGACAGAATATTCACAGTTACTCACATTCATGAAAGTTTGGGTCCAAAGGCGTGATTTTAAATACAATATCGCACTCTTTCCCCTTTCCAGGTGGCCAACTTGACAGACTATCTTTAAACAATCAGCATTTCCACAGCCCTGCATATAAAAATAGGAATGATATTCCAAATATGAAAATATTTGAAAAGTCGTTAACGGCATTACTTTATTCATACACATCCTTTATTTTCCTCTTCTCCTGGCAAAGCACCATAAATGGTTCAAATATATTAAATAACCCCCAATATTGAATAATTACTTATAGTGAGTGTCCCATAAGTTTGCACTCAGAAAAATATTATGTGAGCCACTTGGATCCCAAAGGTGAAGCAGCTGGCAGTAGCCTTAAGGTATGTCCTTTATGTACATACATCGGAAAAAAATGACAGGGGTGGGGTGGGGTATGGGGCAGTTTCTGGTCAATTCGCATTACCGTTCTCCACATGTTTTTTGATAGCAAAACTCATGCCAATTAACTGCACTTAGTGCCAACAAAATACACTTTGTTGCATTCAATGGAAGTCTTCAAACTTGACTGACTCACCTAATCTATAAGTCGTACTTAGGACTACAGAAGTTCAACTGGCCTTTCTCAACCACATTTCCATTAAAATCCATCAGATAACATTGATGCTAAACCATCAGTATTTCAAGAAGGAAGCAGAGCAAAACAAGGCTTCATTTTATAATTGTAATTTTAACTGTACTATAAATAAAAGCACTACAGTGTAGGTATATCTGCCAGTGTAAGTACAACTCAATAAAATTATTATGAATACTTGGGAAAATCTGGTGAAAAATGAGCTCTTCAAAAAATGAAAACAAAAGGCCTTCAGAACTGCATTTATAAGATACTGAAGAATATTTTAGCTTATATCTAAAAAAATAAAGTAACTTTTCTCACCATAAAATAAGAAATTAATTCCTATTTCCACTTTCTTTGCTCTGCCCTTTTTTTGTCTTCTCCAAAGCCTAACTATTTCTGGAATCAGGGTTTTACTGCCTTAGTCCCACTGGTCCTATCTTACCTCCCAAGCATTTCTCTCAGCTGCCTGCCTGTCCTGCCTTGCCCAAAGCAGGCATAGGTTCATTTCTGGCAGTGCAGTTACAAAGACAGTGATACAGTAACGTATGTACTTCATATTACAGATTATTGACAATCTTGTTTAGAAGGGCAGGTCCTCCATGTGTCTGACTGCAGAATGTCTGCTGCTTAGCTAGGAAACACGTATTGTGAAATGAACTGTAATTTGTAGCAAAGATGACTGCAGCACTCACCCACTTCCTCTCAGTTACCCTATTTTACCAGCTGTCCTCCTATGAAGTACTGATTTTCAAATTCAGAGAATAGCACAATATAGAAGACTGACACTGAATGAACTGCCCAACTTGACCTTTGTTTTTAAGGACTTACAACAGCACAAAACTGTAGGCATATGCTTCACGAGCTGACTACCCTGAGGGAAACTGATACACATCGGAAAAAAACCCAAACCAACCAATCAAAACCACTCTAGAGCATATGACTTTTTTGTCTATTACCCATTTAAATACAGAACATGGATTTTCTGAAATGATTCTTCATCTCACGGAGCTTTCATCTTCAGTGTAAGAAAACTGAAAATATTATCAACATATCAATCCTGAGACCTTACCAATGTATGCACATCTCCTTCAATGGCAGTTATATCCCTTCGACTGATACGATGATCACGATTATCTTCTCTGCTAAGTGTTTCATTCTTATCATCATCTTTAGAAGCAGAAATCTAGGAAACCCAAATAATAAGTAATTCTTACATTTAAATATGTGCAGACTTCAAAGCTAAGGTCAAGAAAATATATAACTAATAAGGTTTCTCTCTTTCTATCCTAGCTATTCTTCGGAACCTGGTTTTACCTACAGCTGTAATTAAAATGTTACTCCTGCCTTTTCTAGATCACTGATGCAAATTTCTACTAAGAACTAACACAGAGATCGAGCATCTTAATTCTTTAACTCAAACCTTTTTCATGAATAGGAAAAAAAATACTCTTATACTCCAAAAATAATTCAGTTTTGCAAGCTTTTATTAAAGGTTTTTCTTCAACATTTCACTTTTTAACTCTGAAAAAATAGCACTAGTATGGTGCTGGTATAGCACATACCACTCTACATGTGTACATGTGTCCAGACATGCACAAAAACCTTTTTAGGAGGGGCTTGAAAAAATATAGAGTGGGTTTAATAAATTATTTCAGTAATCCCTTAGAAATTCCCAATATAAAATTGCACATGTACATATGGGACTATGCAGAGCTATGCTACTTGTCCTCTACATAACAATTTTATATGAGAAAATTTTCAAGAGTTGTAAAAAATACATTATTACAAATGGTATAGCAAAAGCACTGGAAATTTGTATTTATATATTCGCTAAAGCTGCTTTCTGATTATCAAAGATATGTGAGTACTTTTTGTTGTTCTATACACTGAATATCTTCCCTTAGTCTTTTTATACATATGTTTGCTTAAATTCTTCTAGAACTAATATAGTGATTTTTACTACTCTCCACTCGCAATCAAACTTGCTGGTTTTCATCTGGTGTTTCTTTGTCTAGCCCAATCTAGGAAAAAGCAGTTTCTTCTGCTCTGTGCTCTGCAAACCGCATGTTTTGCTGGCAGTGACAGCATGCTTTTAAGCCCCACTTGAAACACCCCTATTGACCTCTGTGGCATTTGGATGAGGGCCTAGATAAATAAGCTAGTAATAGAAATAAAACCCAGAAAATTTACATAAACAGCCCAGAAGCATCTGGAATGTTTTTGTTCACAACCACATTCAATATAATTCCATTGCTTTGGACTTCGAATTCATAAAGTACAGTCTCAAGAAAAAAGCCAAAAAGAAACAAGACGAATTTATCTTTGGGTTGACTATCTATTATCTACCTTTTATTTCACCTGCTATATGCATTGATAAGTAATATCAAACAGTGCAGTTTTGTTCCTCAGCCACAGATGAAAACTTAGCTCAGTGTTAGGTATCCTCAGGGATTTGGGTATTTTGAGTATGCTTCCAAAACAAACAAACATACTTCATTCCACTCAAAAGGGAAGTCCTGCTTACCTTAATTTTCAGTGGATTGATTTCCATATCTGAAGTGCAGTTCATGGGACCATCAATTTCATACTGAACAATATACAGCAGCGTGTAGTTTTTGTATTTGTAAGGCCACTGCAGAGTCATCATCACCTTGCTGAATGCACTTGGACCATTGTTTCTCAGCTGATTATGAAAATAAAGTTAACAGATGTAAAAAAACCCAAAGCTGCCTTCTTTGTTAATGTGTATATAGCTGTTATTTTATATTTGAGCCATAAATGATACTGCTGCTACCCCTACCCCCAACCACTTATGGCAATAGAATCAACAACTTTACCTAAAAATTGTAGCTAAACTTCAGTCTCCCCACAGGCAAAACTTAAAATTACTTCTGTAATTTGATAAAAATTACTTTGAAAAAAAGTTAAATGGCACTAGGGCTTTTGCCCTAGTATTTTTTTCCTTGAAAAAAAAGGGGTTTTTTTGTAGTCTATTGCAAGAGTCACAGCCACTGTACATGTCTCAGCCAAGATACTCTGAGCAGATACATACACCCATTAAGTTTCATTAGATAAATGGTCTCTCAAGCTCTAAAACAACTTTAAACTATTCTTATTCATGCAGCTCTCTCAGTAAGTTTTGTTTAATTAATCTAGATTAAAGTTGTGATCATTCGTTTAAGGAAATTTTAAATACTTAAAATTTTTCAAGGCAAAAGACTTTACAATGATGACTCACAACCATTGGAATACAAATGAGGGTACTGAATAATTTACAGCCATGAGTAATTTTCTGAGTTCAAGTTACTTTGCATGTTTTATCTAGATTTCAAAGGGCTAGAAAATAAAATGTGTAATGATGCAAAAAAAATCAGCCTCTTCTATTTGGCCACTCGTATTACACTAATTGCAGGCATTCCAACCCTTCTTGCAGATACCAGTTTTTGAATAAGCATTAAAAAAAATAAAATCTTTGTTTCCATGCAAGAACAAAATGAAGAAAAAAATTATAATTTACTCCAAAGAAAATTTACACTGAAGGATTTCTTTTCATTTATCACAGAACTGTATAATTGAAATTAGTAGTAATTGCATACTTCATAGATATGCTGAACTAGAGGCCCAATATCGTCTTCTGTTTCTGGATTCTCCTTTGGCTGCCAATTTGCAATAGGAAGGAATATGTGATCAGGAGACGACACACTAAACAGCAGAGAAAACAAGTCGTTATTACAAAGTACGGAATGATAAACGTAAATTGTCTAGAACATCTGAAAAAAATCAACATACTTAAAATACAATCTCCAATTTCTCATCCTCTGTATATAAAAACAGAACAGAGGTTGAGTGGCTTGTATATTAAATGTTTTCTTCTCTACATGAAAAGATGAATGTTGTCTTTAGAAAAAAATTTTTTTCCTGTCCTAAACTTTGGATTCATCCTGCAACATCAAGTAAACCATTTATAGAATTAAGATACATACATGTCATCCAAAAGACACAAAGTGTGAAATACTTTGAAAATGAGAAATATTGACAATGTAGAGACTTATCAGTACAGTCATAAGAATCATGCAGCATGCTCTGAAAACAGTGAAGCTAGCAATAATGATTTCATCACACCCCCACCTCTCAGATACTAAAAATTAAATCACAAGAATGAATGTAGTAGAAATTTTTAAAAATTATGACTCGGGAATCTTCATTAACTGGCTAAGCAAGAGGACTGTATAGCTCTTAGGTGTGAAGTATAGATTTCTGGTAAGCAGAAGTAACAGGTAATGGAGTCATTACAATATTAATATGGTGCTTAAGACTGAAGAAGGTGAGGGCATTGCAAACTTAGCTTCAATAGGATTTTCAACTTTGGTTTTAGAAAAGGGTTCAAGGATTTTCGGATGAAAACCCACTCAGTTTGTGGAGAAGGAAAGTGACCTGGAGAATTGTGTGCAACTGGAAAAGTGAATGGTGATTTTTTTTTTTCATCTTGTAAAAGAACCTCTAGTAATAGAGGCACAACATTCCTTTTTGGAATTCATTGTGTAGTTATTTAGAATTACTTAAGATCTGATGGTCTAAATGGTGGCTATTTTCTTTATGATTAAAGATTCCCTAAGGCTTCCTGAAAACTTACTCAGACCTGAAAGAAAGTTCATTGAATATAAAGAAGCAAACATGCAAAACTCATTTTGGAAAGACATTTATTAAATAGTATCAATACTTACCCTCTAATTTCAACAGCTGCTAAAATAGCAAGGTCAGCCTGATAGAATTCTACTGGACTTACATTGTCATACAGGTTGGAACTGCAGAGAGAAAAAAAAAAAAGGTGATTCCTTAAATGAAATAAGTTAAGTATTTAGAAAAAAAAACAATGTATGTAACACCATAACATGACTCCTGAGCCACTGTAGGAAAGCATATTTACTGAAACTAAGGAGCAGATTCCAGCAAGTTCTCACTTAAATGCATGACAGTGCTGCCCTCAGCACAGTTTGGAGGTCCCTCAGCAGGGAGAAGTCAATGAAGGACACAAAGCTAATTCTGACTCTGTTCCTTAGCTACCGCATGGAAGAAAATTCAAATGCCAGCACTGTGGGATAATATGAACTATATAGCCAGCAGAGCCTTAAGTTCCACTTTAGGACATCTGTTTTGCTTAGGAACTTGTTGGCCTCAAACTAGTCCCAGGGCAAAAAAGTATGCTAGGGCTACTTTTACCTACCCCTCTTCACCATGTTTAAACCAGTAAATGAATACAGTTAACATCCGATTCCTACACTTCAGATAGACCAAGAGATGACAGATATTAAGGCATGTAGAGTTATACATAAAATTTCTTTGGACTTTCTTTGTAAATAGAAAGAAATGCAGAGAACTCCCCTAGACCCCTCAAAGTGAAGCTGGGAACAGAATCATGACCTCCTTAGACACATCTGATTATTCTGTCTACCTAACCAATTTACTTCAGAGATATCATCTTAAATTCTCTAATTATTCTTCACTGCTGCTGTAATCAAAACATATATGCAACAGTGTTTTCTTACCGACCTGTAAATAGCTCATTATTTCAGAGACTAGGGTTGTTCTTCTAGGAATTGTGCCAGCTTTGGAAATCTAGCTTTGTGAGTTTAAGACAACTAATGCGATCTTTAAAACCTCTTTAAGATAATACCTCGGTAATGCCTGTCACTATGAACTGTGATTACCATGTTCAGTTGCATCACTGTTCTTGTATTGAGAAGTCACGTAAGGAAATTCCTTCGTAAAAGGTGTAAAATGTTACAGGAACTTTCATCAGAAGAGAAGCATGACTTAAGCAACCTCACTGACTGTTTTTTCTCCCAGTGGAAGGTAGTTAGTGACTGCTGTTAGCCTAATGAAGATGCCTGACACCCCAGAGATGGTCACTTTCTGCAAAGAAGATCTGGAGTCACATGCCGCTGGCATAGTTTACAAGCTGATGGAGAAGAGGGGGAAAAATTGAACAGACAGCAGTGTGAGATCAAAGAGGCGTTTAATGCTGCCAAGGCCTTTGATCAGTATGGCAAACCTCTGTATCATTAAGATAGAATGGCAGGTTTAAGTTTATTTAACTCTTGTAGACGAAAAATGCGTATGTGGATGAGAATAATTTATTCACTACATTAAAAAAAATGAAAGCCTTAAATGGAAAAAAAAAAGCTTTTGGTTCACCATAGGGGAAAAAAAAGCAGCTGTATTTCTATGGTCCATTAAGCAATATAAAACTGTATTGGGTATAGAGATTCCTATTGATCACATCTCCAAATCTTGAATATAATCTCCAGTAGGTTTAAATTCAGATTTATATATCATATTTATATGAAAGCGCTGTGCTCATCTTATTATTAACAGGAAAACTACTGTTTTGTTCCATTTAATTTTTAGACTTATGCTGGCGACTGTAAAACACTTAAAACAGTTCACTGCATGTTGCTTCTCTTCTGCTCAGACTATCACATGCATTGCCTTTTCTGAAAGACTTACACTTCTCATCCATAAAATACATAAAATTTGAAATTCTGGCTTTACCTCAGAAGGAATTCAGAGTTCAAACATCCATTTTAAAACAGGGCTAGAAACCCAAAGACACAAGTAATTCTGTGGCACTACACAAGGAATCACAATAGTATGCAGGTACAAAAACACAATATTTCTCTTGAAACACTTTAAACGTTTTTGTTCCTCATTTTTAGTATTTCATTTGTGCCATGGACTGTCTAAAAGCTGTAAGCAAAAGAAACTGCATTCAAACAGAAAATTATGTTTTCTTACACTTTTCCTCTGTTTTAGAAAACATAATTCATTAAAAATATATGTTTATTTTTTAAAAAATTATGAAGCAAAGATCAGATAATTAGTCCAGAGTGAAACTAACTGCTTAGTTCACAGCCTAGGTACTTAGCATGTTATCTACCAGGTGAGGTACATACTCATCAATTTCCATACCTTCGGATTTGCAAGTCAAACTTCACAGAGGTATCCATTTCAGACTGCTGGTGCACACTGAAACGCAGGCCAGCTAGTAGCTTAGAAAAAAAATCACAGTGGTTCAGTGGAAACACAATAAAATACATGATAAAAGGTTCTTAACACTATTATGCTACAACAAAATCACTTGAGGCTTGTGGTCATAACACATGCAGAGAATTGGCAAATAAAACTTGTCCAGTTCACCAAGAATAGATGTGTACTGCGCTCTCTGTTGATTACAGCTGATGCATCACCACAAAATAGGAATTTAAGGTTTCAGCCATTTTTTCACATAACTGAGCCTTCCTATGTGTTGCAAAAAGTACTATAGTCTAAAGAACAGGCCACACTTCAGTGATTTTAAATTCAGTTCCCAAGGTTTGTTCTGAGTCAGTGCATGATAGTTGCTTCAACATCTGTACAGTTCAGCTTGATATCCTTTGAAAGACTTCGGAAATAGCATTTATTCATTTATACAAAATGTCTCTTGGAAGAAAAGCACCAAAGTATTTATAATTGTTACTCATTTTCACTTTATTTCCTCAGAAAATAAGACTTACTATGTCATGTCGTCTTAATATCTGCCAGGTCCCACTAATAGTTTTTTAATTCTTCCAATTTCAGATACATTAGGAGGAAGTGCAGAAGTCTCAACTAGACAAAACTCTCCCTCAAGCTTCACAAAATAGGCAGAAGAGAGAAGCACTATTAAGTTTCCACTAAGAGAAAGGTGTGTTACAAGCTAGCTCTTCATTATATACTAAAAGATACGTATCAGATAAATCTAAAGACAAACTCATGAGGGACCAGAGTTCATTAATTCCACTGTTTAATGAACTACTGCTTTTGAGCTGCATCATAAAACTTAGGAACACTCCTTTCAGCCTTTAATTTAGCTGAAAAGTTGAAACCCATTACCACTGAACTAACCAAACATGTGGGCAGCTAATGTCAAGACAGATCTAATCTTAAATTCCTGTGAGTAAACATCCTGCCCAAACACTACTGTGATTAATAAAAATAACAACAGCACTCCTGTTTGAGCTACCGGACATCTGTTGGACCAAGTCTTACCTTAGTTCCTGCTTTCATGGGATTTCCCAGGTCACAAACTACCATGCGAGTTTGATTCTCTATTTTAAATGCACATGACAGTCTTGCTAAAGCCTGCAATAAACGAGAAAGAAATCTTAAGGAATGTCATTCTTTACATCTGGACACCTGGATGAAAGTCTGGAGAAAAGTTCTAGATATGCTGTGTTAATTTCAATACAATGCCTCAGTCCTAACACAGTCAAGCACTAAAATTAAATAAAATCTGAGTATGAAAGTCTCCATGGAGACAAATATTTTTGAGATGAGATAAATGGTCTTCCCAAGGTTATAAAGAGAGACATTCAGTACTCCCATATTGGGTAGCACAGGATGACTTTTGTGACCTAAAACATTTCTCCACGTGATTCTTTAAAACTTATACGAAGAAACTTTGGCAATTGGGCAAACTCTCCATAGGAAAATAAAGATTGGATATATATAATAACATGAACACTTACTAGCTTACTCAAAAAAAGGAGCTATTAGATTTTGGATAAAGCCACATCACAAAGCTCTAGAGTAGCAGAGGCAAACTGGATAACCACACCAAGGCACGGTCCAACATATGTGAAGGATGTGGTATCAAAGCTGGAATCCTTTGATGTAGGGGGAAAAAAATTTTCCCCTTAACATTCTGCAGCTTTGATTGATTGATCATAGATTATATTGAATAAAAACAAGGATGAAAGAGATCTGAAAGTATCTTACTTATATATAGCTATAATGGGCTAAAACAAAATTTGGACTATGCCCATGCGTCTTCAAAGAAATAGAAGTTACACAGACATTTTATAATACAAGGGAAAGTCAGGAAATAAATTTTAATATTCTGTGTAGTCAGGATAACTGACACCCAAGACTTTCTACACACTTAGGTGGAAGAGAATAGTAATACCCAACATCAGTTTTTGCCTCAAAGGTGCCCAGCTCTTTACCTAGCACATGACATGATAAGTCTTAATTTAAATAAATTAACAAGGGCACTGTTCAAGTAAAAGACTTGTAGCAGATAAACCCCGTGTGTCAAGCTCCATCACACAGATGATTCTCCTTTGTTGCTAGCAGTAGGCTCTTAAACTGGAACCATCCAGCCAGATGTTATATAGCCTCGGGGCTTGGATGAACCGTATCATTTTTTCGGTGCTTTGCTTTCAAGATTGAAGCATAAAAAACACCACTAATGGACACTTTCCCACAGACTTCCACAGCAGCACCTGAAATAGGACTACTCAAAGAAGAAAGGTAGTTGGAATTTTACCTCATTGTTACGAACAACACCGATGAAATCTGCTTGGGGTGGAACAATGACAAAAAGTTCTGCTTCATAAGCTCCTTCCCCTTGATTCTGAGCAGTGACAATTAGCGTCAAGGGATTATCATCACCAATATAGATCTTCTTCTGATCACTACAAAAAAGTGTAAAAATGAGCTCTGCATTCAGGTTTTAAAGTGTACTGAACTGATTGAACTTACAGAAACAAGAGACATTCTGAGACTGCATAAAGACATTAGAGAATCTAGAGGCAAGTACCTATGCTTCAGGAATATCAGGAGACCTCTATACTATGTTTAAAACAAAAATGTGTCTATAATCACAAAAACTGACCAAATATTACATGCTGGTTTATAAGAATCTTTTTTTATAAAATTTACAATAAACCACAAAACCACCAACACCTTTCTTTAACAAAGAACAAAGAATTATGAACAGCTATATCACTGTGTACATTTTTAATTATATGCCAACTTAGGAGAGGTACAAGCATACTTTTAGAACAGAACTTGATGGAAGGCTCAACTATAGAATACAGCCAAGACTTCTGTAATACATTTGTTTCACGAGGTATTTTCATTTCACCAACTACAAGGAAACCTAACTACATAAATTGCATAAATTAGTGTGTTTGCACTACCTACATAATTGTGCATATGCTATAGCTCTGCACTAAGGGCATAAAAAAAACCAGATGACATTTACGAGTACAGATAATACACTAAGAATGGCTTTCAGGCATATGAAGCGCAAAAAGCCCAAACTCATGAAAGAATTAAAAGTTAAAACTTGTTTCTTTTTTCCAGTTTTAATAAAACATATTACCAATACCAACCATTTTTTTTTTTTTCACACTTGTGACAATAGAGCCCTACCACATACCTCGCTGGATAAAATCATGCCCGTTCACATCTTCATGTGTCTATCTAAATAACAGAACAGTGGTACAATTGCAGCCAACACTGGTTTATACTTGCTATGCATATCCAGCTTAGCAAATACAGAGATAACCACTGTGTACTTATAGTGGGGGTGAGGGAGTGTGCTCTCCCTGTATTACATGCTAAAGACATTAGGTTTCAAAGCAGAAAATGGGTTTCCTTAAAACAAATAAGCATGAGTTTAAACTGTGTACATTGAGGAGTACTACTTATTTCAATACATCCTTTTAACAGAAGTATTACAAGCTCTTTAAGTTTAGAATTCAAGTAGGGAAGTTACTTTCCCCTGTAGTATCTTTCTCATGCATTTACCTTTCTACTGAAACCTCCAGCTTTGGTTTGCAGATATTATCATCACCACAATCCAGCAGAATATGTGCCTATGCAAAAATCAAATACATATTGTTGTAATTCCCACATCTGTCCTAACATACATTTCCAATAATACTGTTTCACCACCAAATAAAAACTTTTTTAAACAGCTGGTTATGAGGTATCTTCATCTCATTAGTCTCAGAAGAGAACAAATGAATTTTTATATGGGGGACACTGTGCCTCACCCGGCCACACTGCAATTCTAGGACTGATGTCTACATATCTTAATCCTTTTTCCATACTTTGAATAATCTGTTCATCTTAAATTGCATCTCCACTACCCTCTTTACAAACAAGTGTAAAAAACTCTATGAAGGGCAGACATAGAAAAACTATGTTTATTACTTTAAAAGAACTACAGGAATAAACATAATATACATAGAACAGCATAGTGTGAGCAATGGATTAAACACTCCAATCCTTCAAGATTAACACCTTCAATACTGATCTAACTGCTTTTCTCCAGAAAACTTTATTACTATGCGTGAAAATGAAGTCCAGCACTAAGGAATAACATGTTAAAAACGAAATTTGACACAGAGAGAAGAGAAAAAGAGAAGATAAACATACAAGAACCACCAGTAATTCCATAATTCAAAGACTAGATGTATATTTTGGTACCTTAATTTTTCATAAATCCTAAAATGAACCCTAGTATTAAGTAAGTACTGAAAGCTGAAACCATGTTCTGGGTTCTGTCATCACAGACTATGTAAGAAGTATACCTGTCTGCTCATATTAGCAGGAGTGAACTGGTTGAGGATAGGGTGCAATCCTGTTGCATCTGCAGCTGTTCTGTAATCCAGACGGTATTCCATAAAAATAGTAATAGGAGTTAGTTTGTCTCTAAATTCAGATTCATCCTGAGGAAACCAAAGATTTGAATTACAATTAAAACACATGAAGAAAATACACAACAAAAATAGCTTTCAAAAGTCTCTATAGGCAACAGTCATCCCAAGAGCAATACAGAGCAGTATTTTTATTTTATTGTTCATGTTGTAGTAGGCAAGAAGAAGCCAAAACATTAAGACTTCTGAGCTCTTTTCAAACTCTTGTCAGAAAGCCTGTAGTGCAAACTTTGAAGATGGACAATTTTAGTAATAACATGCCTGCTTTACAAATGGAAAACTGGAGCATACAGAAGTATAAAGTCATTGAATGTAATAGCGAGGAGTCTGAAGGGCTATAAATGGCTATGCAATTCCAGTCTTTCCTGTCCAACAAAATTCAGAATGCTTCTAAGCTCCCTCATAGATATTCACCTTTGGATTTGTGATTTTTCCTTCCTAAAATTATTACTTTGCACTTGGAGTTGCTGACTTTCATATTGTTCATTTCAAATAATTCTGTTTATCAAATGTTGATCCTGCCTCTCACAGTACTTACAAACCAACTCTTAGCTTTATGTTAGCCACAGATTTTATCAGTGTAAATTCTGCTTCAATATTCTCGTTTCTGAGAATAATGAAAATTACTGAATCTAGAACACCTCATTGCAGGATCTTATGGCAGAAGCTATCTTCTATGGGCAGAAACCTATTGATAACTATTTTCCTTACAGTTTTCAACTGGTTTTGCATCCAATTTAAGGTAATTTCATATAGGTCACGTGTCATTACTTTTTTATGAGAATGTTGGGTGGAAAAGTGTTAAAGCTTCACTAACACCAAGATCTGGGATGTCTATTTCCATGTATATCCCACTCACAAGGCCAGACAAAGAAAGGCATTACCTATCCTCCATGAATCCTTGGAGGATTACTAGTTCGGTATATTGGTTATGCTTGATTTATAAGCACTGAGAGAGAAATCTGAGCTGCATCTAACTTACATAGCTACACTTTTACGTGTGTTTCCTTATTTCAGCCAGTGTTTCTTCTACTGGGTTACACTTTTTAATTGTTTTAGCATCTGTCCACATTTGTGGGCACTAAAACAAAAAGACTGAGAAAAAACAAACTTAGTATTTCAACATTCTTCATCTCCTCTGTTATTTGCTGATCTTCGCTTTTTAGTTGCAGATCCCTGTTTTTCTTTATTCTTTTACCTCCAAAGCAGAAGCACAACCTCTGCTTATTGACCTTTATATTCCTTGGACATTATAACTGATTTTATGCCTACATGACTTCTCCAAGAAGTCCATAACAAAGTTCAAAATTGAATTTCCAATCCATTTAGTAACCAGGACCTCAGTCACAATAGCAACCATCATTCATCCTCTGACATCAGCAATAATCCAGGACAAACATACGGTTTTAGTAATTTTAGATCTGTCCATTGGGCATGAAGTTTCTCTAGCATTTCTTTTTTCTAGTTTATTTTTTTTTTTTTTAAACACACCTAACACAAGGAACTTGTAATAGACAATGAAACAAAACTTATTTGCCTAAAACATAAATGGCTACTTACCCTCAAAAAGGCATCAAGTTCTTCACAATTCATTTTGCCCCCCTTTGTAATAGTCATGTTCTTAGAGTGGCTAGGCTGTTTGCTGTGGAGAAAGAGAGCTCTTCTTATAGCTCCTTTCTGCTTAAGTTTATCCAACAGCAGCTCCACTTGGAAATCTGTCCAATCCAAAGCATTTAGGTTAGGGATATTTCATTCAATTAAACACAGTGCAGCCTCCCATCAGAAATGGAGCTGAATGCTGATTTCAGCTACAATGGAAACCTAGTACTCAGAACTTTTAAAACTTCCAGTTCTTTCAACGTAACATCTGTCACTACATTAGTTCTCAATACAGTAATTAACAAGCACTGTTGTTGACATAAATTAGACCCTGCTTTTTCCTTAAAAACTGGAAACATAGAAGAGCACTGATACATTTATAATTTATAATTGCTGTAGAACTGCAAGAACAAGTTAAATTTTTGTTTCCACCAGAAAATTTTAAAGCAATCTTGCACATAATGCTTATATTACTTAATTGTATTGCTAATCTAATTACTTCACATATTTGATATACAGATAATGAAATCTAAAATATGTAATGGCTACTTATATGAATCTTCACAGATCATAATACCTCTATACATGCCATACAGAGAATAAGGAAAAGCTTTTACAACCCGCAGGCAAAACCTGATTGTAGCAGGCTGTCTGCCACACTATGAAATCTCTTTAGACACAACTTAAAAACCCTTTTGAAACAATCTTTTCCTGATTCTGATCCAGAGAATCTGATGCAAAAATTAGTGATAGCAACCAGAAGTTCAGGATCACAACAGAAATGTGAGAAGTCCCTTGTCCCCATCTATATTTTTCAGGCCTAACAATGCACATACTTGAATATTCTTGTCTAAAACTCCCCTCAAGGAGAGTTGATCTCAGTTCTGTAAAATACAAAGGACTTCCCAAGACTAGTTCCACCAAGTGGTTAAATATATGCTTAAGCATGCTCAAATCCCACTGACTTAACACAACTTCAGCAAAAAACCTGCTGAAGACAGTCTTATAGGTGCATCTGTTTTCTGACTGTTAAGATTGTGCTGTAAAGGGTAAACAACTGTTTCAATAACAAAGAAGAAACATGACCAGTGCTCATGTCTGTAAACAATAATAAAAAACTTCAAAGTTTTTAAACTAGCAGAACTTACTGAGTGAATTAGGGAGCTTTCCTTTGCCATCCGCTTTTAAGCAGAACTTTACTTTGAAGCTGTTTTGGAGGAAAAGAAAAGATTTATTTCACACACTTTTTCTCTCACTTTCTCCTGAAATTCTTTACTGTTTCTCTCAGTTCAAAGGTATTCCCTTTGAGACTCTAGCTCACTCCCAAAAGCTCTTTTCTACAGGGGGGAGAGAAACTATAACCTATTGATAAGTAGACAGCAATGCAAGCAATGCAAAGCTTTGGAGTCTTGATTCATTTAGGAATAGTCACCTGTGAAGCGGAGTGTTGATTTCAGAAATCAAATGCGGCTCATTTATTTTTAAAGCCAGAAGTAACTGGGCATACTGAGTTGAAAGGGAAGTGAGCACTAGAAAGGAAAAGTGGGTTTGGATAATAGTCCAGGAACAAGAACCAAAACCAGTTTGCAGAGCAGATATTTTCCCAAGTGTCTTCCATATGCCCACTCTGTTTTTCACCTAGGAAGTAAGTTAACGGGTAAAAACATTGCAAAAGCTGTGTGATCTGTTGCCATCTTGGGAAGATCTTACTCTACTCAACACAGACAACTGGCAAGCTCTGCAGGTAGGATGGAACTCCAGAGCCAATCTAGCATCTATTGAAGCCAGTGTTGGTCCTCCCACTGTTGTCAGAGAGTTCTTATTTTGTATTGTCTGTTCTTTCAGAAAAATCTGTGTTTGATTGCCTTTTTTTAATTAGCTGACTAGACTTCCTGAATCCTTTCAAAATTAAAAGTTTATGAAAAGAAAACCCAAAAAAGTCCCTCCCCTTAAAGGAAAACAAAGATACCCTGCTTACCAAGAAACCTTTACATCTGACAGCAAACAGGCTTTGTTTTCTGGGTTTAGAATGGTTGGATTAACTTCCAGGGCAGCAATTACTCTAATAACTGGTCTAGCCCTGCAAAGAAAACAATTGTCTTGAACAGCATTCACCACTGTGTTAAGACAACACCCTCCCCATCAAATTGTGAAATATACCCATACACAATATTTAGTGAAACTGCAAGTATAACAAATAATTCTGGAGTGGATTAGGGAAAAACAGGAAGCTTTTCTGTGCCATTTTATTGCCATCAGAGTCAGAACATGGACCACTGTGTTAAGAGGAAGTCTTATCTATTTCTAGTACAGACAAATAAGGTACCTTCCCAAAATGAGCAAGGTTGGATAAGAATATTGGGATTGCAGTGTAATAGCTAGCAGCACCTTGTATGTGTCAGAATCTAGAAAACTGTCACTCAGAAAGTGTTGAAGACAGTTTACTTATGTCTTCTCTTAACTGTAGATTATTGAGAGATAAATAATAGATAGCAGACTCTAGATTTACTCAGTGAAAACAGCAGTATAACCTTTTTTTACCTCCAGCAGTTTGGAAGGTGGAGTGACAGAATTTCAGACTTCCCTGATCCTGCTCTGTTTTGTAACTCAGGAATGCCTCCGAGTTTTCATTCTGCTTGCACTTATGTAAAAGTGTAGAGGGATACTTACCTATATAAAACAGCTGTGTCAACACCAAAGGCTCCAACAATTAGGTCTAGGAAGAAAAGAGAAATATTACACATTTCAATTTGTTTTTTAAAATGTGCTGTTAGTCAGAGGTGGGCTACTACTAAATTATTCTAAAGTGATGTTTAGAGCAAAGGACCTGGATATCCGTTTTTGTCCACATCTGTGGCTCCTTTCAGCGAGTACCCAAAACTAGGTGGCATAGTGCGAGCGGCCCACTGCCCTTCAAGAATTTGAGATGGGACTGCATTCAAACCATTTGCTCTTCCATTGTAGATATAGACAAGCCCTCTCTTGTCCTCTCCACCATATGGTGCAGCAACTGCAATATCTGTAAACCAAAAGAACAATCATCAACATCTCCAGATACAGACTAGGAGAACATATTTGTGCTCACATCAATTCATAATTTCTGATATTACAGTTTCAATGTGTGTCAGTAGGGAGGAAACGCAATCAGCCTTTAAAATGCTCATCAACAACTTTTTTTAACTAGATGCTGTTTTTCCTAGAAAGTATAAATGTTTAACAAGAACATGTATCATAGACTTGGGGGGAGGGGAAGGTGGGGAAGAGGGAAAGGAATAGTTCTGCAAACGCTTCTGCACTTCAATAACTGACTTACAGCCAAACCATACAGATTTGAGATGCTTTTGAGAGTATTAAACACCCAGAATTAGTCACTGTTGGCACCAAATCCCACAAAAGCTAAGTGGGACTATCTGACCATTTCATTAACACACTCCTGTTCCTCCAAAGGGTGTGACATTTTAATAATTCTGGAAAATTTAAGTCACCCTAAAATGGTAAATATCAAATTCCAGTCTATCCTGATCATGGCATGGCAATATGTTTTATGGAGAACTTGCAGTTAGTGCAATTATGCTGTCTCTTAAAGCTTAATAAATTTGAGAATACTCTTTATCAATGACAAATAAACAGTAATAAATAAAATGCTAATTGGACTATTTGTAAGGACAGCTTTAGAAGTGTACATATGATCAAATTCAACATTTCCACAATCAGTTCAAACAGCAAACATGAAGCACTATACAGAGTAATTACATCATTCCCTCCTCTTTCCTTAAATTTTATAAAGTTTCATGACAAGAACAAGGACTTCAAAGTTTACCATTTTGTATTTTTGACTCATCTTTACAAACTTCATGAAAACAGTAGAAATTCCGATCTTGCACCATACTGTGATGGAGAGCATTTTAATTAACACTCCCCAAATGAAACAGAGCGGGGGGAAAAAAAAAATGAGAGACAAGAAAAACAGAGTAAATAAAGGCAAAGTAACCAAAGAGAGGCAGCTTTCGCTACGATTTTCTCACCAACAGTGTATTTTAGATTGAAATATGATGGAATCAAAACATTTTCCGGATAATCTCATCAAGTGACTGCATTTTTGGCTGTCAGCCAAACCTTTCCAATGTCTTCTGTAAATAGTTGCAATGATATTGCATCTTCACACTAATTTTGTATACGATTAGCGACTAACAAAGGTCCCTTCCAACCCAAACTATTCTGTGATTCTATGATTTTTTTTATTTCATTAAAAAAATAAATTAGGGCTACCTGGAAATTTGAAATATTAGCCTATTATAAATTTTGATTTTTCAGAAAATACTTAGCTTGCAAGCAGAATGGAAAAAACAAACACAAGCATTTTTTGCAGAACTCAAATTCCTACCACTCTTTAGGAAAAACTGCAGTATGACTTGGAAAACAAAGTGTTCTGTCTAGGATTCCTGGAAGTCTCCATCCCCAAACCGTATGATTCTTGTCTGTTTCATTGGTCTCCATTCCTACATGAACGTAACAAGAAGCACTGGCAACAGGTTGGAGAGTCCACAGCTTCATCTGTATCAGACTCAGACTTTTCATCCAAATACTTGCTCAAGACACTCAGCTCTTTGGTACAGTTGGCTGTAGTTGTTACAGGGTATTTTCACCAGACTCTTCCATTTTGAAATTAAAAAAAAGTCTAGACTTTTCTCAGGAAAATCTCTTCTATCAGAACATTTTTAACCAGCTCTCTGAAAAAAAACCTTCTTTTCAGTTATCACTGTGTTTCTGGAGAGGAAAATTGGATGGAAGCAATGGAAACAGGAAAATTATATTGAAGATATCCTAACAAATCACAGTGGAGAGTCAGATACTTCATTGAAGTTTCTACCGTACTTGTCACTTAGAAGTAATAAACTGATCAGTGTAACAGCTAAAATAATCCATGCTGTCGTTTAAATGGTATAGTCTCTGCTCGATGCATACATGTAACTCCTGTTAGCATTCTTGGGAGTAGCATACAAGCATCGAAAGGAGTCTAGACCTTAGTGTCCAACATTCAGTCATGGTTAGAACGCCTAATGTCTGTCAATCCACATTCAGTGTGCTGTCTAGATTTCATCTACGAATGGAAAATACTGGTCAATAAATGATATCTTACCATTGAAGCCATCCTGATCTAGATCCCCCAGAGGTGCAATAGAACTGCTGAATCTTGCAAATATCTCAAAACCATTCAGCTTTGTGATCTGAAACCCTCCAGAGGCTCGTTGAAGGCAAATGGAAACTTGGCCGACCTCTTGAAGTTTCCCATCAGAACCTCGATCCATAAAAAGAGGGGCTCCGATAAACAAATCTGTATAACTGGACCAAAGAAGGATAAGGTTCTTCAGTAACAGCATGAAAATTCAGTTTCATTCTCTTAAGCATCCATTAGTAGGACTAACTCAGCACTGAAGTCAATATTAAGATGAAAGTTACCTATCTTTAAATTGCAATGGAATGCAAATATTTATTGACAAAATAAACACAAATATACCAGAATTTAATGCATTTAGAGCATGTGAATACACATGTGTATGTATGTAAATAAAGACAAAAACAAATCTACAATTGTTAAACATTGAGTGCTAACAAGAAAATGTGTTGTGCAGATCCATGTTAAACCAGCAGCAAAGACAGAAATCTATATTGTAGGAAAGACTTTTTAATAAAAGCTTCTTTTTTTTTCTTTCCAGAAACAAGTTGGGTGGCAGTGGGGAGAAGAGGGCACTTACTTGTCCCCATTGATATCTGTGGCAGCCACTGAAAAACCAAAATAGGCAGCCATCTGGAAAACAAAATTCAAGCCAAACTTGTGAGCTGCAGGGATATAAACACACAAATAAATTTATACAAAGCTGTACAGAAAATTTGTTAGGGAAATTGTAATATATACTGCAAAATTTTTTGCCTCCTTTCTCCTTATATTCTTTCTCTTCCCTACTCTGTTAGAAAGTAAACTGATCGGTTACCTTCCTCATTCCCCCTTTCATGATCCAGTTCTCTTTCCCAATTCTCAAAATAGGCAGCATTTCCTTCATTTAAATAAGATTGTTTTTCTAAGGAGTACTACAAAATGGGAACTCACAGAACACATATTTTTAGGATTCCTACAGACTTTATAATATCTTTCTTTGGCACATAAGCTAATAACATTCAGAGTATTACATGTTCTAGTACCCTAAATACTGTCTCAACATGTCATCTTTCTATAGGAATAGCTTTATTCAGTGTGGTAGGTGACTGGGAGGCTACATACCTGCTCTCCAGTGAAGTTGTACATGGAAGACATGTTTTTCCCATTGTAAATAGACACCTGCACATCAAGAAATACACATTACAGCATACCAACAATATTAATATTTTTTATTTATTGTGAAGTTTAATGTTTCAAATTTCCTACCATGCCCAGAGTTCTTGCTGCTCTTGGGACTCCTGATACAAAGTCTGAAATGTAAAGCAAAACACCCAGGTAACATTCAGGTCCCAAAGCACAATGACTTTGCTTGAAGAGTAGCTCATTCCTAGTGCTTTATGCACTTTCCTGTGCACTGTATCATTTGTTCTATACCATTTATTTGAAAGACCTGCCCAGCCTATTAACATGATTTTTTTATTTTTTTTTTTACTGAAGCACGGGTCTTACCTTCTATGCCATCACCATTGAAGTCTCCAACAGCCACCGAATAACCTGATCAACAATCAAAATTAGTAAATAACTTTAAAAACCTTACTAAACCTTTCATCTCCCTTTACACTCTTCATTGGTCTCTATGCACAGTCCTCCCGCTTAATCTTAAAACACAATGGAATAAATATTGCCTCTAAGTAGCTTAGAATATGAACTTTAAAGTTACCCTCCTGGGAACTGTCCTGGTCTATCCTTGCTTTTTTCTGAACCTGGTTAGACATATACGAAGCCAAATGATGATTTCCCACTCTGCTAAGGGACCCTGTTGGTTATTTTTCTTCCCAAACATGATTCTTTCACATTTTTATTTTGTTATGGTAGATTATTTAGAAACAGCTGCATACCAATTCATATATTCATGGAAATGTTTCCATTTATTTTTTCATCAGGTGCTTTTTGAATCAAGCCTATGGCAAGATAACTAAGCTTCCGTCATACGTAAATTACCGCATTTTCAGGTATGTAGCTCTTTAGTTATCTGTCAGGTGTGCAACTAATAGGAGCGTGATTTAGACTTAAATATGAATAGCACAAGAGAGTTTTTCAAGTACAGCTAGGTTTTCTTCCTTTTCAAACTACACACCCAAGTAGCTGTCATCAAAAGCTGCACTGGCAGGTCTGGTTGCTAACTGGTCATCATACTTTGTACTGTAGATTTTGGAGTCATATTTAGCCACAATCTCTGTCACTCGATCAGAAATAAGTTGGCCTAAAGAGAAAGAAAACAGCTTAAACCCACAAATAAAACACATGTGCACTCATTCAATAAGCAACAGAACTCATTTACAGAATGCTTGCTTCTAAAGCAACAGGTCTTCCACAGAACTGACCAGAACAGCCAACAGCAACAGCACTAGAAAGGATTGAAGTGAAAATTTGGATCTTACTTCAGCAAAAAGATGTAGGCACATATTTAATCAAAAGCACACAAAGAGTTCTCATTTAAAAGAGCAGCTGCTCCTACATGTAAGCCAGGGCTTAAATGGGACTGCTCAGTTAGGTACCAGTAAGCATATGCTTCTGGTATTGCAGAAAGGAGTCATTCCTCCTTGTCTAAATACCATAACATGAGAGCTTAATATGGCAGACAAGAAGTGAATGGTGAGCATAGTTTATTACCGTGTTCTCTGTTTTCACTTCAGTAGCCACTAGATGGTGACTTCATTACATTCTTTTCTTTGAGTATAAATTAAATCTTGAATCACAAAAAAAAAAAAAATCTTTTTTTTCAGAAGATCACTTACTTCACATACATATTCACACATGCATGAAAAGTATAGGGAAAACTACTCCTCCAGCACCTCAATAAAATTTTGAGTATAAAAAAAAATTAAAATTTGGGGTGAAAAATATAGTTTTTAGAAGTATATTATTGTCTTCTATTCAGAGGTGAGATTTTTTTTTCTTGGTAGTAGAAGAGAATAAGGTTGTCTCGGCAGATGAGATGTCACTTCTGCCAAAAAGGAATAAAATGAATACACAAACATAATCTAGATTATACAGTATCTACAATTTAGTTTCAATCATTCCATTTTGTTCAGAATTTTAAAACACTGGACTGGAAACAAGCCTCCTGTGCTGCTTCATCTCCACGTAGGCTGGTGTGATACAGAAAATCTTTCATAAATGTTAGTATTTACATTAAAAAACAGGCAGCAGAGTTTGGCAGCTATGTCCCAATTATAGCAGCACCATCTTTCGAACAGAGAGCTATAGTTAAATGCTGAACGATCCTGCAAACAAATACTGACTGAAGCCCACAACAGTAAAATGTATAGGTAATGTTCTGTGTAAACAGCACAGCTAGAGGTAAAATGGGCACCATGGCACAAACAGATCAATATAAACAAACACGTCTTTGCCGTCAAAGGAAAATAATAGTTCTCTTTGCAGGGTACATTTCTCATTGAAAATACATGCTTTGTAATGTGTGTCAGAAATGACAAAACATGTAGGCTTTGAAACAACAAGCGAAATATCCTAAAGGAAACTTATCCTGCTGGTAGAAACAAATTCCACATTCCTGGGAAAACGCCTTTAAAACGATCATAGTTATTTAAAAGACAAAAGACACATCTATCCAGTTATTACTTCAGCTTTAATCTGTGGTTGCCTTGATTATTCAGGAAATATTTTGAAGGATGAAGAAAAATTATCTCTATTAGGCTTCTTACTGACAAAGACTTTGACAGTGGTTGGAGGAACGTGGATACAAATGACTAAGAGGATAAAGAGAAAAATCAAAGAGGTCAACTTCTCTGTGACTTAAATGTATCTCACCTTGCCAGTAAAAACTTCCAGGTCCTCCAAGTAGCACTCTGTCTCCCTTGGAGGCATTGTGGGGAGAGGGAGAGAGGAAAGAAAAAGAAAAACACATTAAACATATCTAAAGACAAGAGAACATATCCAATATTTATGGGAAGTAATCCCATGCATGTATATCACTGTAGCTTCACTGACCCCAATACATTTTATTTTTTGAACGAATGATTAATTAAAAATGCATATTGTAAAATTCTAAGGTAACACTTAATATGCTTTCAGTGACTTGCTTCTCTTTTTCACCCACTTAAATTTCTAGGCAGAATTCTGCTTTTATTGTAATAGATTTATGTGGGTAGAAGGGTCTAAGACAACAGAAACACAATTAGGAGAAAACTTTAAGACTGCTACAAGGCAATCATAACATGTTTTTAGGTCACTACACAAAACAAGTTTAATCTTCTGCTACTTTCTGTAACTTATCTTTAGAAAAGTTCAATTCAGAAAAGCTGTGATGTAATTCCCCCTCTCTGTATCTCTTGGTACAACTGCAATCCACAAACCATTTTATGAAACTTTAACCACATTAACTATCCTAGTTCTGGGAATTTGCTCCATAAGTACTGGATCGGGCCATAGGCTTTGCTGCATAATCAAGTCACTTATTCAGGTTTTAATCTCAAAAACTCCCATATTCACCACTCAGAAAAATCTAGGTCAGAGATTTGGAGATACCTTATACCCAGGCTTGCCCACTCAGCTAGAGTTTTGGATTAGAGCCCAAGGTTGGTTTTAACTGGGGCTAGAGCCTGCACAGTAAGCCTGAGGGGTGCATGCAAAAGAACTCAAACACTTACACTCCTGTAATATACTTTGCATAGTTTCCTCTGGAGGAAAACCAAGAGTGTCCTTGGGCAAAGACTGAAGTGATATGATCCAATCATAAAATGTGAAGAACCCAAAAAATTGTCACATCACAAATAGGATGTGTGGTCTTAACATGTCCAGACTATGCTAAACAATTTAACTGTACAATATAAAAAACTAGTTAGTTCTCAGATTTGTGCACAGTTTTATTGTGCTGGGATTTAAAAAGTAATGTGAATTAAAAAAAAAAAAAAACTAGAAAAAGCAGGGAGAACATTAAAGCAGAAGAAACATAAAACAGACAGCAAAAAATTAAGAAGTCTACTTCTGCTAGCTGATGAGAAAAGCAAAAGCACAAGAACATTGTTTACCAGTTCACTTTAGCAGTAAGTTATTCTTCCTCAAGAAGTAACACTAGCTATGCACCAATCCCTTCAAAATAAGTGCCGCAAAAAATCTGACTACTACAGTTGATTTTGCTTGAGGACTAGCTGCAGCAGAGGTTTATGGCATAAGGCTGGAAAGCAGATTATTTGTTCAGGACATGATTCCTACAAGAGGTGAAAGCGTGCTGCTGTGAAGATGTAGGGAGAAATAAGTTTATAATATTGGAGTGGTTTGAAGTTATTTTTGTTCATTTACAAGGATGTGTTTGGTTGTGGTTTCCCCCCCACTCCCCGGAATGGTAGTTTATATTTAGTTTCATAATTGCTGTGCTGCTATGTGGTCTGTCAGGGTTGTTGTTAACTTGCAACTGTCTGCTGACTTGTAGGAAGTGAGAAAGAATCACATACCTTTGTAAAGTCAATACTAAATCCACCCTGACAAAATCCCTGTCCATCTGCATCGATAGTGGCTACAAAAAAAAGAATGGATAGAAAAGAAACAGAGAGAAAAAGAAAATAAACATTATCAGTAAGAGATCAGATGATTCTGTGGATACTTTCTAATGCATCTCCCTAAGTAACTTTGCACTCCTGAACTTAAAGCTTGGAAATTTTTTTTCTTCTAAATCAGTATTTTCTCTTTATCAACAACTCACAACCAAATGCTTAAAAACTTTAGGGCTGGCCTAACATACATATAACATTAACATATGTTCTAGCCCACCACAGTCAAAGTAAACAGCAACTCCATATTCCTTTGTATTTAATCTTCAAAAGCTCTGCGGAAAAATATTTGTAATTTTTATTCAGGAAATAAGGTATCTGGAAAATAGGGAGTAAGTTTTTCTTTATGTATGGAATAAAAACATGAAAGTTACATAACCATAAGTTGTTTCAAGTATTGGCTTAAAACAAAACAAAAATATACCTGGCTGAAAAAATCTCTACATACTGAGACTCATCCCAGTAAAAACTGTTATGGCTGAGTTAATCTGACGATTATACAGCTCTAGAGGAGAAAAATTCAGACCCCTTATCTGGAACTGTGATTACTTAACTAGCATGATTTAGTTTAATATATGTTTATTTAACTTCTTTTTATGTTGGACCACACTGAATTTCA